AGCACTGTTATTTAATAGCAGATCCATATACTGCCAATATTGCTGGGTGATCCAACCTGATCTGGAGCAAAGGTGGGCGCTGAGCGCATTCCTGTTGAATTACTCAGAACAGAAGATACAGAGTTTGCATGAGATTCATACCTATGCTAACTACAAGAAAATGCATGCCCCAACCTAAGCTGGACTGATAAAAGCAAACAAATAAAAACAAAAGCACAAAAAGTTGCTAAACAAAAGCGATAAATTCAAAGCTGGCATAGGAAAAGTGAGCTGGAAGAGCAGGCCCAGGACGAGAGTCAGAATGTCCCAAATACTTATCCAAGTTCTTCTGTTCCAGTGCCTTACAGGAGCATTTAATATCAGCTCTGCCAAGCAGACGTGCAACTAATCAAACTAATCAAAAATATCAAATAAAAGATACTGAACAGTAAACACAATACCAGGTGTTCCAATCAACTATAAATGATGTTTTTTTCACTCCAAGAAATCATTTAACCATCTTTTCCTATTTAAAAGTAATACAAAACTCTGCCTCCATTCACTTGACATGGCTCATGGCTTGCCTTATTTTTGTACTTTTTCATTCAAGAAAAAAGAAAGGAACGGCAATAGCAAGTGGGTGGAGAGATGGAGACAATATGTCTGTCTGTTCGCTCCACCATATACTTTTATCCCATTTTTTAAATAAGACAAGCTAAAGGAGAACCAGAGGACAGTCACAACTTACCACATTGGTAACCCCATCCTTCTTGCGGGCAGAGAGCAGACATTGCTCTCTTTGGCACAGGTGACCTGCTCTATGAGTCTATCGGAGATCAAAGAACCAAATTATAAACTGCAACTACTTAGGAAAGCCACTAACAACCTAAAATATTAATCTGTGGAAATAAAAAACATAGAAAAATCTTAATTAAAATCTTGAAACATCTGATAATTTGAGACATGTACATAAATGATTCTGATATATCTTGGCCAAAGAGTATAGCTGCTACATGCAAGGTACAGCATTTGCTGTAGCTAAAACTTTAATAATTTCACAAAGAGTTGAAGAAATGCATTTTAGTATTTAGTTACTGTGGTTCTTAAGTACTCCAAATGTATTAAATTCTTGTGGTTCCTTAAGTACTCCAAATGTAGGGAATTTAATAAATTATACTTTTATTCCATTCAAATGTTAGTCTTTTTCCTACCTTTAGTCATTTCCTCACTGAAAAACAGGAACTTTTTCATAATCTTCACAAGTGAAAACTACACAGAAGGAAAAAAGGAAAAGGAGATTCTTTCCCCTGGGACCAGACTTTAAATAGTGACCTACAAGAATTATAAGAATTATTCAGAAAATACTGAAATGTATAACTAGGACTGCAATTCGGCCTCTGTGTAAACTGAAAGGTGAGATGAAAAGTGATTTCCTTCACTTTCAGAATTTGGCACAGATCTTGAAATGAGCATGACTAGGAAATGCATTTTTTTTTAAAAAAAAGCTAGATTTTATGATTAAAATTGCCCTCTTTTCATCTCCTCACCTTTAGAAATTGTTTTGGATATGTTTGGGAAAGTATTTAAAAAGGACATTCCATTGGAAAACCCTCAGAACATTTTTAAAACAGTCCTTTTACTGATGATCCTAATGAACTAAACTGCAACCTCGAGTCCCTTGTAGATGTTACAGTAATACGATATTTTAGAAGCAGCAGTTCCTGCTTTACTCTTTTTCCCCCTTGTTACTGAAGGATCGTGAATGCCACCAGGAGCAACGCAACACTGATTCTCAAAAAAGTAAGCTAAAGAAAAAATATAACTCAAGATGGTGTGCAAAAACAAGCAGATTTGTGTGCTGCCATCAATTTAAACTCATTTATTTTAATGATGAAGGTACTTTGCAGGAATGAAACTTGTTGTTTGGGCCTGAAACAACAGTATTTTTTCATCCTACGGAGACTGTACTCTCTCATTGAAATCCCACACAGGAACCAGGACTAATTCCCAAATTTTGATCTGAAAAGGACAGAGAACCCATAGGGTCATGATGGACAGCAGCTAATCTGTGGAAGACAGCCAGAAAAATAGTTCAATAAGGTGAGAAAATAAATTGTTGACTGATAATATTCTTTGACTCAGTAAGTGTAGGAGTTAATGAATGAGGATATTTATTTAGGCAATGCAGGAGTCACTTGGCTAGGAAGACACAAGATCAAAGCTTCAAAGGGTAGAGTGGTGCGTCGCGCAGTGATATATTCCAAATAACACTGTGGTAACTGATAAAATAAGCGAACTGGTAGGTGTTACCCACAGATGGCTAACAGTTCGCACACAAAACAGTGGTTCCTCTCTTGTAACAAGAGGCTAGGCTGAGATTTCAAGCCTTTCAGCTTTTCTCTTTATCCCTTTCTCTCTAGGTGGCAGCAGCCCATTTTCCATCCTTCTCCGACCATTCCAGCCTGTGAAGCCATAAAAGGACAAAGCAAGAGGAGAGGGCTGCTGATATCAGCCTTATACTATGCACTCCCTCCAAGCATCCTCTTCAGGCTTGGCTGCTTTGGGGAGAAGGAGGCGGCTGTGCCTAGATTCCACACAGCAATCTGCATCCATTCGCACTGGAAAAAATCACCAACTTTGTTACTACTGAGTCAGTTTGGTAACCCCTGCAGTGCCATCTGATTGGGGTTTGGTCCTCTCCTATCCGAGGGTGAGTAAATGACACAAGAACGATGGCAAGGGCATCTGCTCATCAAGACACTGGTGACATCTGGATAGGAAACACAAACACCCTTCTCTTCACCCTTTCTGCACATCTTCACCAAACACTCCGTTTCTGCATGTATTTTCATTTAATTCTGTTACCTGCCATTCACACAGATGTATTCTCCAAAGCACTTCATACTGGTAAACCCCTTGTGAAAGCTCTTGTGCCTTGGTAAGACAGACAAGTGATTTGCTGGTTAAGCAGCAAGAATCTCCCTTCGCATTCAGCTTCTCTGGTACAGCCCCCAGCTTATGTATTTCTAGAGCTACTAAGAAGAAAATACTTAAACTTTTTCTTTTTTTTTTTTATTTTTAGAAAAAAATCACAATGTCGGTAGGAGGTTTTAGTGAATAATTTTTTGACTTGCAAAAGCTGAAGGAGGATTCAAGAGTCTGGTTAGCTAAAAACTAGTTGAAGCTCCTCCTGTCCTCCCTTTTATCCCTGACAAACATCGGCCTATTTCTGGTCTCTCTGTACTTAGCATTGACATACCTGTTCATTCATATATGTAAACAGAACATCTCGTTTGTTTGTATTTACATATATCAAATGTTTTGTATATAAAACATTTCTCCACCCTTGAACATACTTGCAAGATTTTAACTTTTTTTTTTTTTTTGCTAAAATAAAAATGGGGAAAAATAGGTTTACAAATTAATTCCATAACAAAAGACTAAAACTGGTGTAAAAATTAGTAGTAAGCCAAGAAACATATATAAGAAATTCTTAAATGAATTATCCTTGACATACATTCATCTTTGAATGTACATGTTCAAAGCTTTGATTTATCCAAATTCATAATGTTTTCTAGGACATTCCATGAAATGTCATCTTTCTCTAGAACTCTCCCAAGAGGCTAAAGCACTTTACTAAGGCGCATAATGTAAAATTGCATGAGAATTAGAAACAGTCACAATGAAAGCCCACAGAACTGGTCATCAGGCTCTTCCTTCCAGACAGCACTAGTTTTTCATTCCAGACTTAGTCCTTTAACTATGATAGGCGCGCGGCTTCCCATGTTTCTGCAGATCCCGGAAACATTTATTTTTTTGTGTGGCTTTCAAGAGGCACAGCAAAGCTCCTAAGTGATTTCAGTTGAGGCTACAACCATAGCTCCTCTCTTCCTCAGGGCAATCCTTCACAAGTCCAAAGTACTCATTGCACGTTTGGTATATACGCCGCCCAGCCGAGGCCTGTGGAGTGAGGCTGGGTTCTTCCTGTCAGTCTTGGTATCACGCACTTCAGAGTCGTAGCGCTGCTTCTGCCTTCTAAGATCATATTATAAACCTTTTGCATTCAAAGTATCTATTTTCTGCTAAGTTTCTGGTCTGAAGATGCTAATCCCCACTCCCCAGTACTTCATTCACGACTGTTCGGACAATTGCCAAGTATCAATCTTACAAGATGTACAAAATTATTTTTCTAGTTTGTAAACCATTTTTTTCAGCATCTGTTTTACAAGTATTTTTTCCAAGTCTAACCAACTCAGCGCTTGCTAAGCAGGAAGAAGTGCCAGACGGATCTGTGTCTACTAGTCTGGATGTTCTGAATCTGTACCAGACAGATGTAATGAAAAAAAAATGCAAAGACAAAACTCCAAATTTTTGTCTTTTAGATGCTAAAGAACAAAAATTATTTTCCCTAGTGGCTGACCCAGGCAGCTACAGAAATTATATCAACAGTAACCCACTGTATCCTATCCATACACAGTGAACTGTATTATCCAACGCATGTGCATTCTTCCCTAGGTAATATTATGCTTTCGGATTTTACAGCATATACCAAGTTGTTCTGGGTTTGTTTTTGATTAAAAAATAAAATAAAAAAAAGCAAAACACTCTTTACTTTTAAGTAAAGATGCAAGAAAGTCTTGGTACATTCCTTTCATACAGGATATTAAAAAAATGCTTGAGCTTCCTAAAAGCAATGGTATAACAAAACATTAACTACCTACTGATTTTGGAGAGATCAGGAAAAGTTAAACATACTGACTGCACTTGAGACACACCCCAAGGCCATGGGAGTAAAGGAAAGAATGTAAAGGCACAACATATTTCTGCACTCCTGTCATTAAGGCCAAATATTAGTGTGCAACATCGCTTCACAGGGCTAACCATACAAAAGCACTCGGGTCTTTCAAGCAGCACTCCCACAGGTGCTTCAAAGAAGGACTATCTTCTCATTCATCTTCAGTCTCTTGTTTACATTATACTTTTTGGTTTTCTTTTTTTTATTTTTTATTTTCTTTTCTTTCTTTTTTTTTAAGGCAGAAAGCAGGCTCTCTATCCAGTTTTAATGGTCTGTTCTTCATCATGTTTTCCTTGATTTAGTTCTCCAGAAGCGTGCGCTGTACTAAAAGGTGAAAAGACATTAAGATAATTACACTAGGTTAGTAAATATTGTAAGACCTCACTCAATACAGTATATATTGACAGAAGAGTAGTATTTGGAACTGTGGGGTTAATTCAGGTAGGCAGAGGCTTAATTCTGCTTAGCAAGTGTCTAGCATAACAAGGGATATTACCTCCCAGAATTCTTGCTCAAATAACTTCATCCTACTAGATCCATCTAGCTATATATACTTGCCATTTGTATAACTCAACGTGCAGTTTCAGGGATGCTTCTGCCGTTTTGCAAAAGCAAAAATTAAGCGGAACATCATCTGTATATCCTAGAATATCCCAGCATAGGTTACCTTCTTGGACTTTCAGGAAGTCCAAGAAAAGTCTACATAAAATTTTAAAAATAAACGCAAGCCTGCTGTGCCATGCCATCTCATCGAGGTTGATGCAAGACAGCTTCAAAACACAAGCTATGTAGCTTCGTTGCTACTGCAAAGTCAGATGTCAGTGCCTGACTCCCAAAACTTACATCAGGATCACACTAATCATAGTTTACACCCATTTCTTGGCTCAAAACATGCTTGTGTCTGCCTGAAAAATGTAGCATAGATATGAAATCTGGGATGCAATACTTCAATATCAACAGTTAGTGAGGAATAATCAGTTATAACATATCAGGTTTGACTTTATTAAAATTAAGTCTGCATCATCTGATTGGGAGTTCTCACGAAAACTGCAGTCAAAAAGTTTCAGCGTAACCTGAATTCAACAAATGTGTTATCTGCCTTTGGTAGAGGCCTTTGAACCTCATGTGCTTGCTTCACTATCACACTGCTGCACTGAGGATAACCTGCCTATCTCCAAGCCCGATTTCAACAGCCTGTGACAAGAAAATGGAGGTTCCTTTACAGTTTCATATACTCAAGAACTAAAAAAAAAAAAAAAAAAGCATGAGCTAGATGGAAACTTTTAGTTAAAGACAAATTCCTAAAAGAAATAATTATTTTTGGTTAAATAATTATATTAAAAACAAAACGAAAAATCAAAATACAAACAAAAAAACTGGTTCTGCTAGTTTTAAATTAAGCCCTAGAAGAATATAGCAGATTTATACTGATGTGGTATTTTAATAGCCAGTATTTCAAAGACTGTCAGAAAACTTCAGCATGAGGCTGCTTTTTTTCTCCCTTTGTTGAGCAATCACAAGGTCTAAAAAGCAAAGTTTTTACCTATTTTGTTTCAGAAATTCTCCAAAGGTATCTATGGCTTTGGTGTTTTAATCAGCTGCTCTACTAGGAAGAACGAGGTTGTTAGCTTTTTTTTTTCCCTTCTGCTGTAACAACTGTAAGAGTTGTGATTTGATAATTCTTTCATAAAAGAGTTCTCTGTTGTGAACAGAGAACATGTTAGTGAACTTATTAGCATGTTTTTCTAAGTTCCATGTTCCTTGACTCCAGAAAGTTTCATCGTGGTTCAAACCCTGTTAACTCTTCTCTTAATGTGCATTCTTGCAGAGTTCTGTATGGGTTTATGGCCACGCAGTATCAATTTCCTGCGAGACTCAGCACACACTAATAAAACACCTGACAGTTAACTACAGTTTTGCATCACACTGAATGAGCAGTCTTGTGGTCTTGTCTTTAATAAAACTTGTACAAAGGAAGTTCCTCTTTTCCTTCTCTGAATTCCTGTATTCCAAAGCCTCTTGAGATAATAAACTCATGTGGTCAAAGAAGAAAAGTTACAGAAGAATGCCCGAATAATCAGAACTGAAATCTTGATTCAGTTGACAAATATTTAACAAAAAGATATAGTAAATTTCCTCCAGTGGCTTTAGTGTCAATAAAGTGAACTTAGTAGTATCACCACCAAAAAACATTGCTCTTTCATCTAGATTATTCTCTTACCAGGTGGCTCAGATTGTGCTCCACGATGACTTTCCATATTCACATTCTCCTGATCTGCTGAGAAACAAACACATTTAATATTCAGATTCTCTTTACCACAAAGTTGTTGATTACCCTAGATCATCTAGTAGGAGAGAAGGAATAGAGCTGAAAAAAAAAAAGGGCTACTGAACAAAGTTGAGTTTCCCTTGCATCGCCTACATAATTTTGTCACACATGTTAGCATGCATGTCAGTTTTCAGACACCTAAAATTCACAGATGTCAACGTCTGTCTGGATTTGCTGCTCTATCCTCTCCCTTCTCCAACCACTCAGGAAGACTGGAAAAGCTTACACACAAACAAAGCTCATGTCCTACCTATCAGCCACAGTACTCTCCAAGTTCTCTGATTCAAAACACAGCTTATTTAGGGGAAAAAAAAAAAGTGGACAGCAGGCAACAGACTGCTGCAGAATAACGATCATTTTGGGATGGACATCCTGGTAGCTGTCATAAGCCGATACACAGGCAATTTTAGAAGACATAAACCCAAGATTTAAAAATACAGAAATGACACATTATTTTCCAGGAACACAGTTTCTAAATCTCAACTTCCATTTTCAAAATGAAAAGTCCTCCTGCAGTCCCTCCTGCTCAGTCTCTGCCAGGAGGTGGTTGTTAATGAACACAGAGACTTAAGTCAGTCTGGTCCCAAAAGTCTAAATTTTGGGTCAGACAGTTTTGTTTGTTTGTTTTAAGAACTAGTAAAAGAGGCTATTCTGTGTGAATACCAATTCACTATTAAAATGATGTGACTTACAAAGTCAATTTTGAGGTCCCATATAAAATAAAAAAATAAATAATAAAAAAAAGAGAATAGCTCTATAAAGGTAGAAAGAAATAATTTAGAAATCTTACCGCTTTGTTTGAAACACAGCTTCTTCTTCTGGTAAGCAATGAAGCTAGATACTGCTCCAATTACAGTAGCAGCCACAGCACTTATAATTCCAGCAATGGCTCCCTGAGAAGCTGAAAAGAAGAGGTTTATATTTATTTTTTAGCACTGAAAGTGATGTCAGACTTGAATTGTCTCAAAGTAAAGCTGCTGAATACTTTTAAAGCAAAAAAACAGAAAAAACTTTATCCTATCTTTAAGGATAATGAAAAGTAAAGCCTCTCACTTTATAATCATTTCTTAGCAATGCTTATTGTAAAGTAACTGGAATTTTTCCTTTTGGTTTAGTGTAAGTTACACTAGTAATTAAAACAATGTTACCCTTTTACAGCCAGACCCAGCTTGCAGCATGCTGTGTGCAGTCATTGCACCAGGATCTCTGAGATGTTATCATCAACTCATGTTATCAGACGTGAATTATTTGCAACATGACGATCTTAAATAGCTCTGAAAGCAGAGCCTGAAGGCAAGAATTCTAGACTGGATAAAATTTAAAAAGCTGAAGCACACTGCCAGCAATAAGCATGCTATTAGAATATTAACAATGCAGACAACCATTTCCAAATCTTGTTCAAAAATTAAAAAGTTTCGAATGTGTTAGTATCTTTAAGACATGTAGACACCATAAACAGAAATCTATGCGTTTACCCTCAGATTCTCCACCATTATTCGGATTTGCATCCCTTCGTCCTGCAAAAGGAACAAAAGCTTTAGTTTTTGCATTTCTAAAGAACAGTACTTTCACAACTTTTTGTCATTGGATTATGCAAAAGAAGTCGTCACTTGCTAATGTAAATTTACTAAAAATATATATATAATGGATATAATCACATCCATATGATGCTAAGCTCTCCTGACATTCAAATTTCCTTTTTGGAAGCAGAACTCATACCAACGTCAACTCATCTTTAAGTGCTCAGCACTCCTACAACATGAGGGCAGCACAAGTGTGAAATCTGATTTAATCAAGTTGCCTACTTGTACTAGGAGCAGCACTACTGCTATTACTGCAGGAGCGCACGCAGGGTAACTGACTGCACAGACCAGTACTAACGAGGCTGAATCTGCAGCGAGTCACACCTCACTGTGCTGCACCATACATTTAGACATAGCAGCTTATTCACAATGATGTTGGCAAGCTCTAACACGGTTTTGTATTTCTCACTGCAGGAATATCCTACAGCACTTGTGAGACATGAGATGGAGGCCTCATCCCTCCACACTGAGGGTCCATCCTAAACACATCCAATAAGCAACAGAAAGTACATTGAAAAAGATTCAAAAAGAACACCTGGATCATTTACAAAGCTGTTTTTATGGTGAATTTTGAAATAAATACTACTGCATATCTCAATTTAAAAAGCAATCAAAAATCATCCTTGGCATAGCAGTAAAAACCATTGATGGTTCCAGGATCAGCTTTACTTCTTAGTCATCTGTCTTTTTTGGCAGAGACAGAAAACATGTCACTTTTGAACTGCAAACTATGTTCTGATTTTTCATATAGAGGAGCAAAGGTGTTACAAGTTAGACATGTTAACCGGTTCACAATCAAGTTTTTATCAAAAGGTCTGATGATCACAGAATCAATATGATGGTAATACCAATATTACCATCACTGCCGCCATCATCTCGTCCTCTTGGCAAACTGCCGTCAGATAGATCCAAATCATCAAAGTTGCCTGCAGAAACAAAAATAACATTGCTTTACACGTTCTAACTTCAGTGAAAAGGCATCTCAAGACACATAATGTAAAATTGTCTTTAATCGTTCAGTTGAATCTGTGAGTGTTTTAGGCCCCTGCCATACTCATATTCAACTTTCAAAGCCTCCCACGTCTCTCCAGCTCAGCACTATAGCACGACAGTTTTAGCAACGTTGCTGGCTTTGGGCTTCCTGAACAACTAAGGAGGGTGGTGTCCAAGAGCAGCTTTATACTGTACTAGCACGGGCTTAACAAGCATGAACCTTTGCAGGCTACTTTGCTGAAATAGCCCAGGTCTCATTCTCCTGTTAAAGCAGAGAAAGGACAGGAGCAGAGAACAGGAGCAGAAATGCACTTTGCATTTCTGTTCAGGACTACAGCTGTGAATGTTCCTGCAGAGCCAGGTGTCTGAGTCACAACTCAGAACATGCACAACACAACAGCTAGAGCAGACAGTTTAGCATGCTACAGTGCGGTGGCTGCAGCATTTGCTTAGGAATGGAAAAAGACACAGGTTTAATTCCCTCCTCTGATTTACTGCAGGAAATTGAACCAGTTCCACTCCTTTTCCACTGGACCTGTCTCATGAGACTTGGAGTTCTCCTCCTTGAATAAAGGGATCTTCAGTTCAAGCAAAGCAATAGCGTTCCAAATACTCTATGAGTTTTATTATACTCTTACATTGTTGAGTTTCATTATTCTATTACACTATTACAAGCACAGAAGCAGCACACTGGGGGAGGCTTTAGCTGGGCAGCATAAGCACCGTATGGAGGCATCAGAGACCTGAATTCAAGTATCTGCTGCAGAACAAGCAGGAGAAGGCACAAGAAACCAGAACTCGCATTCCAGGAAAGGATTCTAACCACCACATTCCCGGATAATGGCATCATAACTACAGCCCTCTGAATTTGCTTTGTTAGAAGTTAGGCAAAGATAGAGAAGAACTTTAAAGTGCAACAGGCAGGGAAAGATATGTATCTTAAGCCTACTTTTCCAATAAGAAAAAAAAATCTATTTCTTAGCTTGGAATCTTAAAAAGAAGCTAAAATAACAACCCTTTAAGATATTTTAAGAATATAGCTCATGGGTAGTTTCTTCTTTAGCAAGACTAGCAGAGATGCAGTTTGTAAAGACCAATGTCGTCATTTTTTTGATTTTTTGTTCAAAAACAGACTTCACATGTTTTAGTATCTTTAAGACATGTAGACACAATAGAAATCATTTACCCCCAGGCTTTCCATCACTCTTTGGATCTAAGTCTTTTCGTCCTGCAAAATGAACAAGAGCTTTAGTTCTTACATTTCTAAAGAACAGTGCTTTCACAACTTTTTCTCAACGGGTCATGCAAAACAAGAAGCCACCTGCTAATGAAAATTTATTAAAAAAAAAAAAAACATAATCAGGATATTTACATCCATATAATGCTAAGTTTTCTGGACCTCAAATTTTCTCTTTTCAAAGCATTGCTCATACTAATGTAAACTTTAGCCTTAAGTGTTCAGCACTCCTACAACATGAGAGCAGCACACATGTGAAGTCTGATTTAATCACGATTCCCACCACCACAGAAAAATACTCAGTGCAGAAGAACTACAAATAAATCCTCGGCTGTATTACCCATGGAACCAATTATCTTGTCCTTAAATCTCAGCCCCATTTACTAACCACCTTTGCAGCTCTCCTAGCAAGTAAGACAGAAGTTCTGTAAATACTGCCCTTTATTGTTGGTATGGAATTTGCTCAACTCTCTCTGAAACAGGAATCTCAGGACTCGGCAAATGCTACCTACCCCTGCTACGTTTCAAGTTTCTGCTCCAAAAGAATATGGAAAAGTGAAAGGAACCTTTCAGTTTCAGTAACCTTTGTCCAGGACAAGTCTCTCTGAAGAGTCAGTAACTAGCAATACAATTCAATACCAGATCAAGGCCCCAAGCTAACTCTGATCGGGAAACAGTAAAAACGCAGTCGAGTACAGAGCTAACTGACTGCACAGACCCATCCTAATAAAATACCCCACATCACTTAGAAGCCCAAGGATCAGTCCATCATGCGAGACTGGTGAATCTTTGAGGACACACTGGGTGCTCCTCCTAAGCACAAGAACTAGCAGAAAGTACATTGAAGAAGATCCAAAAAGAACACCTGGATCATTTACGAAGCTGTTTTTATGGTGAATTTTGAGATAAATACCACTTGCTTATCTCAATTTAAAAAGCAATCAAAAATCATCCTTGACATAGCAGGAAAAAAATCATTGACGGTACCAGGATCAGCTTTTCTTCTTAATCACCTCTCTTTTTGGGCAGAGACAGAAAACATGTTGCTTTTGAACCGCAAACTGATGTTTCAGACAGAGAAACAAAGGTGTTACAAGACCATGCTAACCTGCTCACAACCAAGCTTTTATCAGAAGGTCAATGATCACAGAATCAATACGAAGCACCACCATTATCACTGCTGCCACCACCATCTCGTCCTCCTGGCAAACTGCCAGTATATAGGCCTGACTCATCAGTGTTGTCTGCTTAAATAAAAATAACGTTGCTTCATCATTCAGTGAAAAGACATCTCAGGACACATAACGATGTGAAATTTTCTTTAATGGTTCAGTAGAATCTGTGAGTATTTTAGGTCAGTATCATAACCAGGGCACACTGAACTTTCAAAATCTCTCCCAAAAAATAAAACTATGCATTTACTTTGAAATGGATTAGGAAATCTTAATTGGACTACTAAAGACATACTTCTCTAGTGTTCAGATATTCTTTTTAGGACAGTCTTACCAGTGTCTCCAGGATGTGCAGGTAGATCTTCCTTGGGGTCACCTATAGACAAATAGAGGCAGAAAAAAGTGACCAAAGTTTATATTACTGAGATCAAAAGAACAGCCTTGCAAGCCTATCTGACCTAAAAATGGCACTTTTAAAAACATTTCTACCAGGAATTGATTGCTTGTCACTTTCCTCTTATAAAAACACTACCACTAACCAAAAAAAAAAAAAAAAACCCACAAACAAACAAGATCCACTCTGTAAAATTATAAAATACGTTTCCCCAAATATCATTTCATTTACCTTACCATAGAAGAAGAGCTCTTATGAAACCTCTCTAAACTGTTTGCTCACAGTCTTTGTTGCACTTTTCAAATTAATTCAGCAGCATCATTTTTCTGTATCTGTATTTTTACCAAGAGCTAACCAATTTAGTGCCTCACTGCTTCTATACACTGTTTCTCGATGTTGCATGGCCTTGCCTTCTCCTTGCTCCAGCACAAGTCAGATCTGCTCTCCTTAGGCTCCCGGCCTATTCAAGGTAAAAAAGCAGGCACCTCCACAGCACAACTCCATGATCCAAGTTAGGTTTGTCACCCTCTCAAGGACTCTCTCTCTTCACTTACCTTAACCACCTGACTCAACTGTTTCTGAACTAGTCAATTCTGTTTTCAAGAATTTCAGCATTTGGAAACAGACTGCTTTGAGACAGACAAAACTTCAAAGGATTTCTACAATTTCTGTTGTTCCTTACACCCCTAAGCTGACATACATCAGAAGGAGCACCTTTCCTCAAACTACTTCAAAAAGATTAAGGTTACCTAATGCTTGTAAAATTACTTCCTGGAAAGGCAGTGTTTACTTCAGATTCAAAAACCATTTCCATAAGTAATGGTTTATGGAATTAGTGCCATCTAGTGAAGGTACAGCAATGAAACACTGAAGTGGAAGTAGGACTTGGATATAAATTATGCAAAACATACATACAGCATACATTTGTCATCTAGACCCTTGAAATGAAGGCATATAAACATTAACAAGGTGCAACTATTTCTATCTGCTGTTTGCTACCTTAATTAACTCAATTCTCTTAGTATACTTACCTAATAGAGGACAGACAAGACATTGCACCAAGTACCACAGAACATTATCTAGGAAAGCATACGTACCAGGAAAAAGAGCATCTTCCAGGTTAAAGTCATCTACAAAGAAGAACAACCATAAGTGTAATGTGAGAACTGAAGTAGTTTTAGACTATTTTTTACACAAAATACACCTCATCATGTTTTCACCAAGAAGATTATGGGATGCTCACTAAACAGTAGCCCGTAGAAGAGCATCACAGTGTTGCCAGGGACTATCCACCGATCTTTTGGTGATCATGGATCATCCTCAGGCCCAACTCAACATAAGCAAGCTCAAAATATGAAAACTGAAAGACAAGAGAAGGGATTTTCAAAGGGTCTTTGAGCTAGTGAAATCACAAAGTAACTTTTTGGAAGCACTAGCAGAAGACCTCAAGAGGCAGAAATGTTTTCATCACTACAGAATTCTTCTCCTTTATAGAAATATCACAATTTAATGTGCCAGTAAATTGAAAGATGAAGGCTCTCAAATCTGCATGAATAATTACACTTGATTTTACAGAAAGGGACATTTACAAGCAACTAGAGCTCACCGTCAGCATGTGGTGGCTTCTGGGGTACAGAAGGTTTCTCTGTAGGTCCTGTTAGTTAGGGAAATAAAAGTACAAATACACTGTAAGAAAATACAGGAGGCCAAATTTAACAGCAAGATTTTTTTTTCTCCCACCTAAGAGCAAGTCTCGAGTGTCCCCCAAGACAAACCTCAGTTCTGTGTGGTCAACACTTTGGCATACAAATAGTTGAATTGTCCCACTGAGGTTTAAACAAATGGTATGTGGGGAAGGGGTCATGCTAGATCTTGCAATATTCAGAAACGAACAGTCAAACAAGTCAAAAGGGTAGCCACTCCCCCACGCTCCCCAAAATTTGCAAGAGTGTAATACTTGCCCAGAGCATCTTCTAGGTTGAAGTCATCTATGTTACCTATAAAAAATGAAAACAAGACTGCAGTAAGAACACTGTTCTTTGCTGTTTCAAATAAGCATATATTAGGGTCATAAACATGTCTTTGATGTTCTTAGAGGAATGTTTCCTTCTTTGAATGTAACATCATTTCCTTTTCCCCTCACAAAGTTTTAACAGTGGTTAATTACTAGCACAGGTGATGTTGAGTAGGCTCTTTAACTTCCCAAAGGACACGGAAGTTCTCTACTCCAGGAAGATTTAAGTTTAGAAGTGCAGCTATCTCCACCAGGGGTTCTCTACTCCAGGAAGATTTAAGTTTCTTTACGTTTCCATTTTAGCTCTTGGAAAAAGTAATGTTTTCCCTTATTATGTTAGGTCAACTGGAAGAGCTACCACTGCTCACTCAACCCAATTACAACACAATGACCCAATAAATTCATGATACATCCTGGTTTCATAGCATGAATAGTTACAGCACGGTGACCTCAGCCGCAATGGATTGCAAGCTAAACAGACAACAGCTGCTTGGGATACTTTGGACAGTTCACCATTCCTACTTTCACTGAAGCACAGGGGTAAAACCAGCCATTCTATAAAAAGACACACGAATATACTGCTCTTGATCCAAAGAGGCTGCAAGAATTTCAAACCTACTCAATATCCAGCCAGTCTGATCAAAATTTAATTCTAGACACAGCTATCTTTATATGGAAGATATACACACAAAGCCCTGATGTGTCCAGCTTTTCCTCTAAGAAAGTAACTACCAAAGTAGAATCACAACTAATCAATGTGAAGTCTGAAGAGGAAAACAGAAAAACAACAACAAACCAAACAACAAAAACCACCACCACCACCAACCACAAGCAGAATATTCTTGCCACATACATGACAGGCCCAGCCACGACAAACATAAATCAGGAGCCTAATTCCAAGAATGGTGGATGCTCATACACATGGATGATAAAATGTTTCAGCTTAGCTGAGGTCAAAATTGAAATCTCTTTCCTTCTCAGAAAAACTGTACTTCCAAAGCTTGTTTGTTTATTTGTTTTCATTTGTTTTTCCTCCAGAGCACAAACATGAGTAGGATTTTTATTTTATTTTAATATGGATCTAAAGAATGACAAGAAAAAAATATTCCAAGAAAACTTGCAATTTTCTGAAACATCATTCAAATTAGTCTTGAGCCTGAAATCTGGAAGACTAAGCTGCTGCTTAGCCCATGCTGCAACCTTACAACATTTGGATCAACCACTACTTTGCTCACAGCCAAGTGATGAGGCCCAGGCAGTGACTTGCTTCCCATGAAGGCACAGGAACAGGCAGCAGCAATCATGGCCTTATCGAGCTGCATGAGCACAGAATGATTAGGTCATTAGTTAAATATCTTGGGTAGATAGCAAGAAGTCATTCTTATGGGTTTTCTTTGCTGTAAATAGAGACCATCAGCTCTTTTAGATGCTTAGCAAATGGACACTTGTTTCACAGAATGCGAAATATTCACAAGTCATTCAATTGAAACCTCCATCATCTTGCAATGACATCTCAAAAACCCCAGTAAAAAGGGTAGTTGCTAAATCCATAGCTCAATTACCTCTGTTGAAGTTCTCTTCATTTAGGCTATACCAAGTAATTTCCACATTAACAGACAAGAAAAAAAGTTAAACCACTCAGGAGAGGAAAATCTGAAAAAGTATTTATACAGTTGTTCCTCAGATTGGAATTATGGTTTTGTTTTTTGGTGTTTTTTTTCCCCCTCAAGTTCTCCTCATACATCTTTCTGCCAACACTCCTGCCAGAAGGAATGCCTAAGGCAAGATCTGCTCAGATATGCACTAGTCTAAGGGCAACAGCAGAACCTGTGGAAGAGGCACACTCTGAAAACACGCTACCAGAGCGGCGAGCAGAGGACAGCCCATTGCCATCTGTTCATGCCATCTGCTAACACCATCTGTAGTAAGGTTAAGATACATGATCAGATCAATGAGCTGGCAGGCATGTTTCCTTTCTACAAGGAAGGGAAGAGGAAAGAAACAAGCATACACATTCAGTGACAAGCACGCACATTCAGTATTATGCTTTGCTGGAGCCTAAATTTTATTTGGAACAGAAATGAAACTATTGCAAGAATGTCTCACTGGCACCATGTTGAGAATCCCCGGTGGTTTCAAGTGCAATAATTTCTCTCAAGAGAAAGAAAGCAATATGAAAAAGTGAACATTCATGACACTGTTATTCTTAGGGATTGTTCTTGCATACAATCTTCCTGCAGAAATCACCCAGGAAGACACTGCTGATTGCTAATTTCACATAAAACCTGCTTTGAGAAAGCAATGCTACTTAATGAAGAAAAAAACCACCCTGTATCATCCAGAACTATTTGACAATCCGCAATCACAACTCTACATTCCAAGCAGCTGATGTCAAGCTTTTCAAAAATATAGTTTTACATCAGTAACGAGAGCAGGAAAAAATCTAACCTGTGAAACTCCTTACAACAACACGTATTCTGGAGCACCTGCACTGCATTACAATAACCTATAATCTGGTGAGCTAAAAGCTATTCAAGAGAACCAAGTAACTACGCCAAGTCCTTTGCAGCAACCCGTTACGCTCTCGCAGTATTAGCCTGCTATGGTATTAGTCATAGTTACAAACCACTAAAAAAAGCTGACATGAGCTTTGCATTAGGGGAGTTCCTCCATTGGTCCTAAGTATGGCAACGCACCAAGAAAACAGAGTTGAAATGAATCACCACAAATATAACTGTTACTTGAGCAACTTACCCCTTGAATTTTGTTTTCTCAGAATACTAGTACTATTATACCTGCAATTCCTTTAGCAGCCAACTAATGCGGGTCTTTCCCTCTGCCTAGATGCTCATTTACACCCTTCACCCGCAAAAAAGTTGTTGTTAACGAGGCCTCTAGTCTCCTTAGAATTCACGGGAATTTTGGCAACTGTCTAAGAGGACAGGAATGCTGGCAGCCACAAGAGCATAAACTCTGGGGAAAACAGGCTGAATGCAGCTTCTCTGACTCCCAGGAAGAAAACTGGATTTTATACACCAGTGTCTTGTACTCCTTCTCCTTTGCTGGACTGAAGAGAGAGGTAGAATATTCAACACCTAACCATGATGGATACCAGAGAAAACAGGAAGGTCAATACACACAGTTCTTAATGAAACACTTGAAATAAAGAAGATTTACGGAGATTCAAAGGTTTTGCTCTTCTAAGCTGATCAACACTTGATTCCAAATCTTTTTTTGCCCCATTGGTGTTTGCTACAATAAAAGACTGACAGCTCAACTCGCATCCTGACAGCTATTTTGCAAAATGCCTTCTTATGCAGGCAAAATTAAGAGAAGCAACTTAATGACAAAAATGTGAGCAACAAGTGCTTTAGCTCTTCACACTCTTCTGCAAGAATCGCCCTCTTAAGGTTTTAAATGGAGAAACCGGGATGTGAAGACCACTCACTGTGGGTGGAGGAACGCGCTGGAAACCGGATGAGTCATCTCGGCCAGGGCAGGGGTTTGCAGGCAACATCTCTCCATAGCGGGCAACACGGACGGGATGTTTACTGCCACTGCCAAGCAACTGCTTATAATTAGCTCTGCCTGAAGTTGCACGAAATTAAATCTCACATGGTCGGTTTCAAATCCTCTTCCTCTGTAAGTATTGACCTATCAGTGTTTCAAGTTTAGCTTGACATGCAGAGCAGTAGAAAGCAAAAAGCTTTGAGCAAAGTTCTGTTCAAAAGAATAAAGTCTCTGATTAGATAAAGTAAACATGGTCTGAAAACAAACAGCTCTTAATTGGACAAAAAGCTGATTTCTTTTATTTTTAAACATTCTGAATGTCTTTACTTTTTGCACATCTGAAAAGTACACCAGCATATCTCACTGGAAGGAAAAAAAAAAAAAAAAAAAAGGCAGCAAAGCTTTCAGTGCAACCAATAAAAATATTTATTTCCCCTTCCAAAAGATGTGTAAGACTACTCAAACAACTATCAAATTTGATTTTGTACAATCTCCCAAAAGCCTCACTGAAAAAAAATCACTTTATTTGATCTGGTCTGTATACAGTATATAAAAAGCAGGGCAATTATTCTGTCTACTTTTCCCTTCTGGCCTGGCTGCTAGAAGATAGATTATAGAGAGTCTGCAATTTATTTTAATCTTTTGAATTACTAAGTATTACTTCTGCCCCCAAATGACAGTTTTATTTAATATATTTGATAAACAAGGAAAAAACACTCCCAGGTCACATTTTGATTTAAAGTCAAAAATCTTTCTTTGCTTTTCTCAGTTTCTAGTTATTTCTCTTTGAACTACGTAAAATATACTGCAGTGGAAGGTAGGTCTTGCCAAATCCAGTTTATTACTGCAACACACTATTTCTAGTTGCATAAATATTTTTAGGGAAAGTTTTCTTTAAAACTTTATCATCATGATTATTCTACTCCAACATTTTTGGGTGACTTATTTTAACAGAAAATGACAAAACAAGCCATTAATTGGGAGAGAAATAGTTAATTTTAAGCATAGTTTGGGGAATTCTCCTTGTGTAGAAGTTTTCTATGTACTTAACAGCTTTTGTTGCCCATTTGAACAGTGGAAGGTAAAAAAAGTACCAAGGGGCTCCAACCATCAACTGGGTGTTCCAAGGA